CCACAACAACACACACAGACTCAAGGTGAAGGGATGGAAAAACATACTCCTTGCAAACAGAAATGAAAAGAGAGCAGGTGTAGCCATTTTCATATCAGATAAATTGACTTTAAGCCAACAAAGGTAAAGAAAGACAAAGAGGGTCATTATATAATGGTAAAGGGAGTAATCCAGAAAGAAGACACAACAATTCTAGATATATATGCACCTAATGCAGGAGATCCCAGATACATAAAACAAATTCTACTAGATCTAAGCAAAGAGATAAATAGTGGCATCACAATTGCCAGGGACTTAAACACCCCACTGTCAGAGTTGGACAGGGCATCAAAACAGAAAATAAAGAAAGAAACACTGTACCTAAACCAGACTCTAAATCAGATGGACCTAAGAGACATTTACAGAACATTCTACTCCCAAATTACTGAATATACATTCTTCTCATCAGCACATGAGACATTCTCTAAGATTGATCATATACTAGGCCACAAAACATGTCTCAACAAATTCAAAAAATCAAAATCATACCATGTATCCTCTTTTATCACAATGCTATAATATTAGAAATCAATTACAAGACAAACACTCAAATCCACACAAAGTCATGGAAGTTAAACAACCTTCTGCTGAACCATTATTGGGTCAAGAATTAAGATGAAAATCAAAACATACCTCAAACTGAATGACAAAGTGGACACAATCTATCAAAATGTATGGGACCCAGCAGAAACATCCCTTGGGGGAAAATTTATAGCCTTAAATGCCTACATCAATGAGACAGAAAGGTCACAAATTAACAGCCTAATGTCACATCGCAAGGGACTAGAAAAAGTAGAGCAAACAAAACCCAAATCCAGCAGAAGAAAAGAAATAACAAAGGTCAGAGTAGAACTAAATGAAATGGAAATAAATAAAAAAATTACAAAGGATCAAAGAAACAAAGTGTTGGTTCTTTGAAAAGTTAAACGAAATTAATAGACCTCTTGGTAGATTACCAGGAGTAAAAGAAAAAGGACCCAAATGAGCTCAATCAGAAATAAAAATAGAGATATTATAACTGACACCACAGAAATACAAAATGTCATCAGTGAATACTAAGAAAATATCTTTGCAAATAAACTAGAAAATGTAGAGGAAATGGACAAATTCCTGGAAACATACAACCTCTGAAGACTTAATCAGAAAGAAATAGAACTCCTGAATAGACCAAAAATGAGCAGCAAGATCAAAGCGGTAGTAAAAATTTCTCAACCAAAGAAAGCCCTGGACCAGATGGATTCACAGCCAAATTCTCTCAGATCTACAAAGAAAAGCTGGTATGCATACTACAGAAATTATTCCATAACCTAGAGAAAGAGGGAATCCTCATGAACTCATTCTATGAAGACAGTATCACCTTGATACCAAAGCCAGGAAAGGACACAAAAAAGAAAACTACAGACCAATATCCCTAGCATGACTATAGATGCAAAAATCTTCAATAAAATACTAGCAAACTGAATTCAACAGCACAACAAAAAGATAATCCACCACGACCAAGTGGGCTTCATTCCAGGGATACAAGGATGGTTCAACATACATAAGTCAATAAATGTGATTCACCACATGAACAGAAGCAAAGACAAAGTCCATGTGATCATTTCAACAGATGTAGAAAAAGCATTTGACAAAATCCAGTACCTTTTTATGAAAAAAACCCTCAACAACCTGGGCATAAAAGGAACATATTTCAAAATTATAAAAGCCACATATGACAAACCGACAGCCCACATCACAGTGAATGGGGAAATGTTGAAAGCATTACCCCTAAGATCTGGAAAAAGGCAAGGGTGCCCACTGTCACCTCTTCTATTCAGTTATTGTGCTGGAAGTCCTAGCAAGAGCAATCAGGCAACAGAAAGAAATGAAGGGTACCCAAATTGGGAAGGAGGAGATCAAACTACCGCTTTTCACTGATGATATAATCTGTGTCTAGAAAATCCTCAAGACTCCACCAAAAGACCCCTGGAATTGATAAATAAACTTAGCAACATCTGAGGTTACAAAATTGGTGTACACAAATCAGTAGCACTTCTATATACCACTAATAGTCAAGTTGAGAGTCCAAAGACTCAATACCATCCACAATAGCTACAAAGAAAATAAAATACTTAGGAATATGCTTAACCAAGGTGAAAGATATCTACAAGGAGAACTATTAAACACTGATGAAAGAAATCACAAATGACACAAACGAGTGGATATACATATCATGCTCATAGATTGGCAGAATCAACAGTTACAATGTCCATACTATCCAAAGTGATTTACAGATTCAATGCAATCCCCATCAGAAAACCAATACCATGTTTCACAGATGTAGGAAAAATAATTCCACACTTTGTTTGGAATCAAAAACCACCTGAATGCCAAATCGATCTTAAGCAAAAAGAACAAATCTGAGGCATCATATTACCAGACTTCAAACTGTACCACAAGGCTATAGTAACCTAAACAGCATGATATTGGTACAAAAATAGAGACATAGACCAATGGAACAGAACAGAGAACCCAGATATAAAGCCATCCACATAAAACCAACTGATCTTTGACAAAGCAGACAACAATGTACACTAGGGAAAAGAAGCCCTATTCAATAAATGGTGCTGGTAAACTTGGATAGCCACATACCAAAGAATGAAACAGAATTCCTATCTCTCACCACTTAAAAAAATTAATTCAAGATGCATAAAATACTCAAATGTAAGGCATGAAATCATAAGAACACTAGAGGAAAATATAGGAAAAACTCCTCTGGATATCAGTCTAGGCAAAGAATTCATGACTAAGACACAAAAGGCAATTAGAACAACACCAAAAATAAATAAATTGGACTCGATTAAATTAAAAGGTTTGTGTACTGCAAAGGAAATGAGCAAATAGGCAACCTACGGAATGTGAGAAACTATTTGCAAACCACATTGGATAAAGCACTAATACCCAGAATCTACAAAGAACTCAAACAAATCAGCAAGAAAAAAAAAAACATTAAAAAGTGGCCAGAGACACGAACAGAAGCTTTTCAAAAGAAGATAGATAAACAGCCAACAAACATATGAAACAATGCTCAATATCACTAATCATCAAAGCCACAATGAGATAACACCTTACCCCTGTCAAAATGCCTATTATTAAAAAGTCAAAAAACAATAGATGTTGGTGCCGATGCAGATGGAAAGCAATATTTATATGCTGTTGGTGGCACTGAAAATTCATATAACTTCTATGGAAAACAGTACAGATATTCTTCAAAGAATTAAATGTAAACTTACCATTCAATCCAACAATCCTACTACTGGGTACCTACCCAGTGAAAGTCATTTTATCAAAAAGACACCTGCACTCAAATATTTATTGTAGCACAATTCACAACTGCAAAAATGTGGAATCACCCTAAGTGTCGATCAATTCATGAGTGGACTAAGAAAACGTGGTGTATATATACCATGGAGTATTACCCAGCCATAAAAAGAAATGAACTAATGTCTTTTGCAGCAATTTGGATGGAACTGGAGATTGTTATCTTAAGTGAAGTTTCTCAGGAATGGAAAAACAAACACCACATGTCTTGACACTAATCGATGGGCACACTTGGGCACAGAGAGAAGTAAAAGCCACTGGAAACCAAGAAGCGGGGAGGGAGCAAGAGGGGAGGGATAAAAACCTTCCTAATGGGTACAATGAACACTATTTGGGTGATGAGCACACTAATAGTCCTGGCTCAAGCATTATAAAGGCTATCCATGTACCAAAAACATTTGCACCGCTTAACATTTTGAAATAAATGTCTGTTTGTTATTTGAAATTCATTTTGTGTGTATTGTCTTTGCATAGCTTTTCCAAATTAACCATTGGATATTGTATATACACACATAAAGTCTATATTTATATAATTTAACTCTTTTTGTGCTATATACAATTTATAAGAATTCCATGTGTAGCATGTATAGTACATAAAATTAATCTCTTTGCATTAAATTTTGCATTTTATAGATATTAACACTTTACATTTTATGTAATTTTAAGAGTTCCAATGTTTATCCTTTGTTATAGTGTGTTATTTCTCATGTCATATATAATATTTCTACAAAAAATGTACCTTTTCTACATATAATTTCTGAATGTATAGTCCTCAAATTGTTAAAAAAA